ACACAGCACTAGATGAAAACATGTTTGTCTCGAATGTAACAATGTCTCTGAGGGAACACTTTCTTGACATAAATATTAGCCTTTCTCCCAGCTCAACATGAAGCATACACGGAGCCTAAGAAAACTATTTCTGGGGCCTAAAAACACAAATATCCTCACAGAAAAACAGAAACTTTAATATTTGGGCTAAAAACCTGAGCTAATGTCCAGAGGCTCCTGTAAACTACAGACTAATTTATTGCTGTCGGGCAACAAAACTGTCTCCTGTCTACATTCAGGTGCTGAAAGGCCCTGGACTGATACAGAAACACACAGTCTGGAGGCTGTGGTTGTGGCTGCTGCTGTTAGAGCACTAAAGGGATTACTTACAGAAAACCTATAATCTATCTGGCAACCAGAAGTGTGTGTGACTGTGCTTGTTCATGCTGTGGCCAGCAGGAGCAGGCCAGCAATGAAATCAGTGAAATCAGACTGTCTGCATCTCCTTCTACTGTAATTTTCCTTAAATATCAGTGATGTCATGCAAAGCAGTAGCGTGCCGGCGGCGGCTGTGAGCAGCCATGATCTGCAACATCTACCCTGTTTGTACAGTAATATTATGCTGCTGGGGTCTGCTGGTGGAGGGCCAGGCATGAGGCCAACAGCGGCTGATGATAATAAAGTGGATGTGGTGGGGTAAATTACACACTCTAGGAGGAGAACATAAAGTCTCAGCTCCTGTCTGATGCTGCCGCAAGGCCTCCTTTAGTTCCCATCAATTCTATTTTAAGACATTAAGTTCATGTTAGCCACTCGATCAGTATGTGTGGTCTTAAAATACTAATTATCACCCTCGACCAAAACAAAAAGGCAGAGCGATAATGCTTTTGACGGTTTGTGCTAAAATTTGGTGTGGTTGTGGTTAAAAGTCATTCACCACACACATACTCCAAGTGCTATACAGTTTGCAAGATATTTTAATAAAACTTAACAATAACTAATAATAATCAACCCTGTTTGAAAATTGTAATCACAATTTCAGAAAGTAATCATACATCTAGAACCTTTGAAGTCTGTTCAAAGCTTGTCTTGTAGCTCAGACTCTGAGTAATTACAGCTTGCTGTGAAAACCTGTGTGACATCCGGTCAAAAGGTATGATGACACGTGTTCCTAACAGTGCTGCCTAACACACACTTTTCATCTTGACACAGTCCAGACCCCAGCTCAATGAAACTGCTACCACACCAGAGAAGAAGAACTGTGGTCGGTGTGGTTTTAGTAGCTGCCAGAGAGTCAGCTCAGGTGTTCAGCGTTGAGGCGAACCACACAAATGTTTTGAAGTAAATGCTACAGAAATTTAATATAATAATCAGACCTTTGTGTGGAAAGTAATGAAAATCAGTGAAGTGCATTCAGCTGCAGCTGTGACCTTTTAACCTTTTGTACAATCAAATGGTCACAACCAGTGACAAGTTGAGAATTGTGCTGATTGTAAAGGCATGGAAAGAGAAAATGTGAAGGAGATGAGGTGAACTTGGTGACCTCTGGAAAAGGTGTGCTGAGAAATGCATGTTGATGCTTTCAGACAGATCTGCTGAATTTCATGAGGACATTCCTGAAATGAATTCATTTCTACAAGACTGGTGAAGCAACGGGGAAAAAAGGGGTTGACATTTTCAAATAGCAAAAAACAGTTGTTGCACTGAACTCTGTTGTTTTACTGAAAACACTAAGAGATATATTGATTTAAATATGTTAGATTAATGGTAAGCGTGATGGCTCGGTTGGTAGAGCTGCCACCTCTCAGCAAGAAGGTCGCCAGTTCAAATCACGGCCGGGGGCCTTTCTGGGTGGAGTTAGCATGTTCTCTCCGTGCAAACGTGAGTTTTCTCCAAGTACTCCAGTTTCCTCCCACAGACCAAAAGCATTCATGTTAGACTGATTGGTAACTCTAAATTGTTTCTAGGTGTGAGTGAGAGAGTGAATGGTTGTTTGTCTTGTTTGTCGTTATGGGTCCCTGTGAGGACTGGAGACCTGTCCAGGGTGTCCCCCGCCTCTCACACAGTGATGGCTGGACATGGGCACCAGTGACCTGCACGACCCGAAAAGAAAAAAATCAGGTAAAGATAATGGATGCATAGATAAAACCCAGATTAATAGTATAAAATGTCTATGAGAGTACTGCTGGATTAACAAATTTCCAGATACAACTCACACATTAATATAAATAATTTCTTCTGTTAAGTGTTTGGTTCATTTTAAATTCAAAAGTAGCAAGTTATGCAGGTAATTACAAAAAAGGGATTTCTTTCACAAGGAAAGCAAACAAAGAAGCAAAAATACAAAACACTGGTACAGTGACAAAAATTGTTTAATAAAAGATATGACATATGACATGTTGTATTATCTTCCACTTGTTCCGTAATTGGATTGAAGCAGCAGCAGCTTGGGCAAATAGACCCAGACATTTTCCACAGCTACCTCTTCCAGCTCTTCTGGGAGGACCCCAAGGTGTTCCCAGGTCAGCAGACAGACACAGTTTCTCCAGCATGTCCTTGATCCTCCCCGGAGTCTTCTCCCAGTCGGACATGCCCAAAAAAACCTCTAGGGAGGCGCCCATGGAGCATCCTTACCAGATGCCTGAACCACGTCAACTGGCTCCTCTCGATGTGGAGGAGCAGCTGTTCTATTCCGAGTCTCTCCTGGATAACTGAATCTCTCAGCTATGGTGAGCATGTGTCATCCTCTGCTCCTTTCTCATGTGGTGTCCCATAGGGTTCCTTTTTAGGGCCTCTTCTTGTTGGTTTTTGTTTACTTCCACTTGGGTCCATTTTTTGACAACACAGAATTTCTTTTCACTTGTATGCAAATGATTGTCAGGTTTATGTCCCCCCTTAAGAGAAATGACTCATTTTCCTCCAAACCACTGCTGAAATGCCTCAAGGACTTAAATACCTGGATGACTATAAACCTCTTGCATTTGAATAAGAAGAAGACTGAGGGGTTTTTTTTGTTTTTTTTTGGAACATTCACTGACACACCACATGTATATCTACATTCATTGGCTCAATATACTAAGCTAATGATCACAAAACCTGGGGGTCAAAGTGGATACTGATCTTAAATTTGACAATCAAGTCAAGCCAGTTATTACTACAAAGGACTTTGAGATGGTAATCTACTGTTTCATCAATGCTCGGTTGGATTACTGTAACACACTTCATATAAGGGTCAGTGCTTCCTCAGTGGCTTTTGACACCACCATGTTAATTTCTAGTCCAGTTTTAGTACAAATTTTATTTAAATGATTAATCTAGTTGTTGTTGTTTCATATAAGGCTGTTTTAGATTTGCTTGCGTATGTTTCATTGTGTATTATGACTGCTATCGCTTCTAATGAATGTAACTGTACAGTAATTTGGGCCTACCCAAAAGAAACAGTCCACATGACCTGAATGAAGATTGTTGGATTAAGACCTGGATTAATGAGCATGAACTTTGGTGATCTGAACCACTTTGTCATGGCTGCCTCAGAGGAGTTGAAGGGGGAGAGGACGGGCACCGGAGACCATCTTATCACCAGCAAACTGTTTTTGGAAACACTTTACAATAAGGTACACAAAATTTGATCAACTACTAGGGAACGCTTCAGGAAAAAATCAGGAGCTAATGGGTAGTTGATCAGTACTTACTGGGGAACCCACAGCCAAGCCTTATTAAGGGACTACTGGTTAGTTATCTTGTAAATCAAAAGGAATTAATCAAGAGTGTTAGTTACTAAGGAAACCAAAGAGGAACAAATCAGGAGCTAACGGGTAGTTAACCAGTACTTACTGGGAAACACACAGCCAAGCCTTATTGGTTAGTTATCTTGTAAATCAAGAGGAACTAATCAAGAACTAATTGGTTGTTACCATAGAAACCAAAGAGAAACGAATCAGGAGCTAACAGTAGGTAATGATCAGGTAGTGATTAAGTAATGATTGGTCTTCAGTAAGTACTTGGTATGATACTTCACTACATCAGTGAACAAAATAATAGCCAGGCAATGATTTGGTAATCAGTATGTGATAGTCAGACATTAAGACGACAGCAGTAGAAGATTATGAAATTGCTAATCAGTGGTAAGAATCCAATAAAATCAGTAATCGCTAGGAAACAGGTTTTTGACAATTACAAGCTGTGACCTCACTGGTGCAGGGTTTATTCAGAGTCCAAATGGAGAAGTTCTCCTCTGGTTCTGTGGTAACAAACCAGTAGGCCCCTAATAAGGCTTGGCGGTGTGTTCCCCAGTAAATACTGGTTAACTACCCATTAGCTTTGACTGAAGAAGTCTTTCGGATGAAAGACGAAACGTTTCTACATTTTTTGTTTGTTTGTTTGTTTTGTTTTGTTTTTTGAATGTCCAGAGGACCAGACTTAACTTTTTTAGATTTTTCTACCTGGATTATTGAGCATGCATCAGGATACCCATTAGCTCATGATTCGTAGCTGAGGCGTTTCCTAGTAGTTAAGCAACTGTTGTATACCTTATTGTAAAGTGTTACCCTGTTTGTTTGTTTTTTTCTTCCACTATGAGAGTGTGCTGCTTGTGGGACTCCATTTGTTTGGTGGCTTCTCAGATTGAAGAAGTTTTTTGGATGAAGGACGAAACATTGCAGCAAAAAAACAGAAATAGTCCAGATGACCTGATTGAACATTGTTGGATTTTTTTTTTTTAACCTGGATTATTGAGCATGAACTTTGGTAATTTGGGCCTACTTTTTTTAAAGTGCTTTATAAATAAAGATGGCATGGTATGGTATGATGTAATTTAAAAATGAATAATGTTATTTGTAGCTCTGGATAGCCCTCTTCTAGGACCAAATGTCTTTAAATGGTTGCAGAGAAAAGAGGGTGTACTTATGACTAGTGCATGCTGTCTTATAATTTGATCACTTGCTAAAATAAAATAAGAAACAAGGTTGATTAGAAACCAAGATATATAAAAAAGAGAAGATAAGGGAAATGCTTGTACAAACCTTTGTGATGGCGAGGGCACAGGCTTGTCCCCAAATTTCTATCAGCTGCTGTTGTCCAAATCTGTAGTCCCTCAGTAGTTCTGTCTCGATAGCTGTCATTTCTTCTTTGCTGACATACACAGGATAGAGGACATGATTAATATTGCCATTCATCAATAAGTAAAGAAAATGTTTACGGTTATACTCCATGCCTGTCATTCTATGTAGTGGTGGCAAAGGTGAACTCTACAATAGACATAAAAAGACAAGACTGCAGCTTCCAAAAGAAGCTATGATATTTTCTTGTTTTTTATATTTTTATTTTACCAGGTGAAATGTTTGAGAACCAGTTCTCCTTTACAAAGATGACCTGGTGTCCTTTACTGTAGCTCCCACAAACTAGTTTATGCCAGAGCGTCAATGTAAACATCCTAACATAACTATTGATGTCTGTGTGATTTTTAGTTTGGTGATAATTTTACTCAGTTTCCTCTTGAGCAGCGTGAATGAAGTTGAGATGTAGGCGCTGCTGGCTCAGTTTTTAGAACGAAGATCTGTCCTGTGTGACACGTACAAGCGACATGGCCACAGGCGCAACACTCGCACCTGAAATTCAATGTCTGGAAAAACAATAATGAAAAAAAAGTCTGTTTCTTTGTGAGATTCTACAAACTCCATTTATCCTTGTAACTCTACAGACACCTGGTGGTCCTCTTCTGCACTGCATCTTCAACAAACAACAAACAATAATTAAAAAAAAAAACCTTTTCTGAATGTTGTTGCATTTCAAATCTTCTTATGAATCAAAATTAAAGTGTTTATTTTAAACCACTTGTTATATTACAGACCAGTGCGAGCAAATGAAAGGAGAACCAATGCACAAAATGAGTAATGTGCATCTAATCAGCACTTAGTCAATGAGGCCGCCCCACTCTGCTTCAGATCTTTGCCCATGAGAGGCAAATTAAAGAAGATCAAGAGCTACTTGAATGAGTGCCAGAGAACTGCCACATTGGTGTTCGTATTACTTTGCGTTACATCATATTTCATAAAAGAGGGAACACACAAGGGACCATCAAGGCTATTTATAGCCCACCAGACACCCACAAAACACTCAATCATACAATGAATTATAAACAATGTGTGCAACCAGAGGTGGAGAGTATTCCAACAAGGCAGAAGAAAAATAATGCATTTTTATTTTGTTCATAGCAGGATTTAAAAGCTATTGCAGATATCAGCAAAAAAAAAAAAAAAAAAATCCATATTTCCCATATTTATTATTATGCTGTACTATTTTTGTCTTTTATGAAGTAATAATGCTTTTAAAATTTTGCGCACACTCGCACACAGAAATGTGTTTGTGTGGCATAACGCTGGTGTATCTAAGTGGGGCTCCTGGCATTTACCTGTGCCAGTGGAGCAGGAGCAGCTGGCACCCAAGGCTCACCTCAGGGATGTTTCCTGAGCTGCTGTGACAAGCTGATCTTTGGAAAGTTCACCTCAGTCCACAGGGTCCGTTCTGTTTTGCTGTGCTCAACGTCAGCCTGTACTGCAGTTTTTGTTAAACTTGTTGGGTCTGCATGAAGTTGGGTCATTTTAACGCTGCTGATGCAAAAGCACTGAAGCACTCCAATAGCTTTATTGTGTTCAAAATTTATGTCCTGTATTTTTTGTATGTAGCTTTAAAAAAAAAGTGTCAATTTCACACAAATGTGTGCAACTCAAACAGGAAGTGTTAGCTATGACAAGAAAGAAAGGAAGAGAGAGAGCGAGAGCGAGAGAGAGTTGAGATTAATACAATTTTGATGAACCACATGAGAAAACTTAAATTTTGAACTCTATAGACTTACTTTGCAATGAATATTTTTACAGTTATTAGTGAGTATGCTCAAAATCAGTATTCTTTATTACAACTTCTTCTTTTTCTTCTTTCAGCTGCTTCCTTCCTCAGGGGTCGTCGCAGTGAACTAACTCACACAAAGTCTTGGCAATTGGTTTTGCGCCGGATGCCCTTCTTTACACAACCACAGACCATCGAGCTACCACAGCCCTCTGTGTGGAACAAAGAGCTGCCATCTAGGGCACCCGGGGGAGAAGATGGTGGGCATTAAGGACCTTGCTCAAAAGCTTTGCAGAGAGTGGTGAAGGCTGCACAGAAGTTTGTTGAAGTCAGTCTCCCCACCATCACAGACATCTACACCTCTAGATGCAGGAAGAGGGCCACCTGCATCATGAAGGACCCCACTCACCCAGCACACACACTTTTTGCCCCGCTCCCCTCAGGAAGGAGGTTGAGGAGCATTAAGTGTAGAACCACTAGACTGAGGAACAGCTTCTACCCTGAGGCCGTTAGACTCATGAACATCTAAGCAGAATAATCACTGTGAAAAATCACATCATAAAGCTGCTGATCTGTTTCATGTTGCTGTGTTCATTCATGTTCATCTGCTCACATAGACTCATGTTCGTGCTGCTGTTTGGCATATTGTTTTTATTATTTTTATGCTATTTGTGCTTAGTGTATTTTAGTTTATGTTTTTCTTCGGTTATATCTTACATGTTATTACTGTTTTTCTTTTACATTTTATTGTTGGATGTAACTGGGACCCTGTGTACATAATTTTGTTCCACCTCATGTACCACATGTAATGCAAATGACAATAAAGAAACTCTGACTCGGAGTGGGGCAAATGAGAGTAGACAGTTTTATGACGTTGTCGTCGGTCCAGCGGGATCGAAGCGATGACCTTCTGATCACTGGCTTGCCTATCCTCTGCACCATCACTCCCCATTTTAAATAGTTTTTATTATAAATTTTATATTTATTTTAACAATCTACCAATGTTTCATGATGAAGCCTTCTGGATGGAAGGCGAAACATCTCAGCACAAAAACAAAAGAAACCGTCCAGATGACCTGACTGAACATTGTTGGGTACCTGCTTCAGCTGTGCTCTGCAGTCATTCTGATACTCAACAAAATTGCACCTTGAGGAAATGTTGCTCTTACAATGTAAAATACCAAAAAAATTAATTTATAACCATGTTTGTAAAGAAAAGTAAAAAATAAAAATAAAGCAGCCAGGTGTAATGGACCAAAACACTAGAGTTAAATTCAACCTAAATACCAGAAACAGAAATGCATTTATTTGGGTGTCTGATTTAATATATGTTGCACATTAGTTACTGTCAATAGAAACATCGATTAATATTGAAATGGATCAAAGAAAGCTGGGCTGTACATGTCTGCACCAGCACTTTGATATAATCTGTTTTTTCACAGATGCAAAATAGGTTTTTTGATCTTTACAGATTTTTTTTTCACAGATGCTTAATAGGCACACACATTTGAATTGTCTAAAATATCTATTTACTACCACGACTCTTATTAGAACATATACGACTGATACTTTTTAAAAAAAGTGTGCATTTTTGACATTCGCTAAAAGTCATAATTTCCCTGAATACAGAGTGTACCTACAGGTTTACACAAACTCACTATTATTTTAGCCCAAAAACTTTCTCCACAAAGCTGGAAGTGAAGGGTCTTGTTAACTTTAAACATGAAGAAACATGAAAATGTGTGTGTGGTACCATCAGAGTCTTCAGCCACTCACAATTTAAGAATTTGTTTAAGATCAGACTTGTTTTTGTTTTTTCAACAGTGACTGTTTAAGGCTAACTTTTCAGTCTGTTTTTCTCAGCCTCTTATTAACTTGGCAGTCAGGGAGTGTCAGACTCAGCTGTGTGGTTACCATAGCAACTATACTGAGCCACAGGCGTAAACATTTTTTTTTTATGTTTCTTTCTGCACGCTTCTTATCCAGTTTATACATCCAATTCTAAGGTATTTTTCGTTGTTTAGATTATTTCAAATATGCCAGAATTTTGGGCAGTACTAGAATCAGTATAGACATTTTCTAGTTATGCATTTTAAACAAGTTTGGCTTTTAATAAATGTGAAAAATCTCAGCTGAAGACTGATGGATCAGAGTTCAGCTACTGGTGAACAAGCAAACATTACAATATCAAAACTAAGTGTTGTGAGCAGCTCCTCGGCTGCCAGTTTCAGGAGGATCCACCACGGTGGGAGCAGCCCATCATGGTCAGCACAGACTATAGACAAGTGGCTGCTTTATGCAACAAATCAATTTGCATCAATTACTTCAAATAAAGTGGAGCACACTTTTTCGAATAAACTGCAGAAAGCAACAACAAACTGCCTCTTAAACTGATGCCACTATGCAAGAACAGGTGTTATCTTGTTCCATTTTGTGAGTTAACTGTGGCTGTAAAAAAAAAAACAATGTGCATCAGCGTCTGTTGCACTGTAGCCATATCTGTGCCTTAACCACAGGTCTGTCCCTGAAGGAAGAGTTAATTTCCCCATGCTGTGTGTGGTGTTCTTCTGTTACATGTCAGCTCCAGTAGTACCACTCAACTATGATCGCAGCCTTTAATGAGCCTGTTTATTTTACACTTGAGATGGGGTGAAATGAAACTTTAATGAGCCCTTTGGGGAAATGGGGGCTTTACAGCAGCAAGTGGCAGGATTCAGTCAAGGTAAACAAAATTTAATTACACAAGACAAATATGGATCCTGTAACGCCAGGACAAAAATGATGTAATCACGGAGAAAAAAAAAATTCAATATATACATGCAAGAGTTTGAAACATTGATGCAAACAGAGCACAAGAGAAACGTATTCTGTAGCTGCAGACAATAAAGTGGGCAAAGGCAATATATGTTTCTGTATATAGTCTCACCGGGGAAGCGTTCTTGTGTGATAAGAGATAAATGTACCGCCGAAGTCAGAGGGGATTCTAGTTTTCTGGGCCTAATAACTGGATGCCGGAAATAACCTCAAATCACCACCTCCATTCTCCATCTGACTGATTTTCATATTTCCTGTGAGACTGAAATGATCAACAACCACTCTGAGGTTTTCCTCTCTCCTGGCAGAGCTCGGGGCTGTTAATCATCCAGACTATGAAGCAGAATTACTGAATAAAATGTAGGATGTTCCAACTGTTAACATTATGTTTTATTAATGAGCAAAAACTATTAATTATTTAATACCTCCTGTTAATTGTGGCTGAAACTGATTTTCAGCTTTTTGAATATAGT